TTTGTTGTTAAAAATGGCTGAATGACCCCTTGGCCTGTCTTCCATAAAGAGCCCCTCTATATCTCAGCCTCATGTAGACTGATAAAGGTCAGAGAAAAAGCCCATTAAGAGAGCAGCTCACGCCGTCACCCTAAGTTAGCGACCTTCAGGGTGGCATCGCTACCTGAGAAATAGAGGCGCTCGGCCGAAACGCACCGGCTTTTAACACAGGGTAGTTAAGCAGGTTTCCCAAGTAGGTCTTCCTTTCTCGTCGTCACATACGTACATACACACGCGCACACGCTCATCCATACACACACTCACTCATACACACACACACACTCACGCACACACACACACACACACACACACACACACACACACACACTCACTCACACTCACTCACTCACTCACTCACTCACACACAACACCACACACACACACACACACACACAACACACACACACACACACTCACACATGACACACACACACACACACACACACACACACACACACACACACACACACACACAAAAGGATAGGGAAGAATCTCGGGTTCGTAGCGTATCTTATAATGTACTTGACATGTTACGTATTTTACCTCCTTCATCAGACTCGTGGACAAAGGGCTCCCAGCAGTCCCTTTGGAGGCAAAAGGGGCTTCATAAATATCCATTTCGGCGAGGATATCTACTTGAAGTTCATCGACTTTTTAAAACTCCTTCCCAAATCTTGAACGACATTTCCCATCTCTCGCCCGCCCGTGCACACACTTCCTCCCCGCCCGAGAAGCATTCGGGGGAAAAAAAAACAGACCTCAGCAACTTAATATATCTTTATCATCCCGCCGGGACACAAAGGGAACCGGCGCTAACCCCGAGGAAGCCAACAGATCTCCGCCGAAAGATCCACAGGCCACAGGATCTCCTCCCTCGCCTGTCCTGACTTACCGAGCTCGCGTTGCCGGCCGGTGTGGGGGCCCCCGCCTGCCGCTGAGGTGCCCACGTGGACTTTCACATCTGTATTAACTCCCGTTACACGCTCCTCGCCCACTGGGGTTTCGTTACCGGACTACCACGGGGTGTCACGCGGAGGGAACTACACTCAGCACGAAGGAACTTGCTCTTCTCGGGGAGGAGAGGGAGAAAAAATAGAGAGGAAATAATGAACAAACGTGCTTCTGCCTCTTTTCTGCGCATCTACTGACAGAGTGATTACCTCTTTGTCCCTCGCTCTCAAACACACATCCTCGGATCCCGTCCAATTTTCTTCCTGACCCCGTGCTTTTCCCCAGCCGATGGCACTGCTGACTCTCTGGCACTGCACTCGCCGCGACGCACCTCAGACACGGCGGGCTGAGTGCACTACCAGCGTCGCTATAGCGGGGTCGAGCGTTGAGTGTTGGCCCGTTGGATTCCAGTGTGTTTGTCGACTGTTCTCCAGTGGGAGGCGTTGGGGGGGGGGGGCACAGCGGAATTCCCTCCCCGCCGCCGCCGAGGTTTAATCGTTAATTCGTATGATCTTGGGCTGCGCTTGCAAAATGTGTTTCCTGTTCGATTTGCTTTGGTATTCTTCGAAACCTGGAGTCTCTCTCTCTCTCTCTCTCTCTCTCCGTCTCTCTCTCTCTCTCTCTCTCTCTCTCTCTCTCTCTCTCTCTCTCTCCTCTCTCTCCCTCCTCTCCCTCCCTCCCTCCTCCCTCCCTCCCTCCCTCCCTCTCTCTCTCCTCTCTCTCTCTCTCTCTCTCTCTCTCTCTCTCTCTCTCTCTCCTCTCCCTCTCCCTCTCCCTCTCCCTCTCCCTCTCCCTCTCCCTCTCCCTCTCCTCTTCTCCTTCTCTCTCCTTCCCTCCCTCCTTCCCTCCCCACCCTCCCTCTCCCTCTCTCGAAGGGTTCACTCGTAAGGGCGCTTTGACAGGTCGTCCTCAGCCATTAATAAATCCCACTAACAAATTGATTGACCTCTTCCCTTCTCCTCCTCCTTCCCTCACTCCCCCCCTCCCCCGCCCTTCCCCAATTCCCTCTTGTTCACGGCATCCCTCGGAATTTAATTTTATTATTCTTAAAATACTGGGTTGTCTTCCTTATCTTTCTCCTTCTCGTTATCTTGTTGTTGTTTTTTATTATTATTCTCTCACGTCTGCTTGTTTTGCCTTTGTCTCATATCTAATTGGTCCTTTTTCTGTCTCTTTTCTCTTCTTTCGCATTTTGAACATTAATTGGATTTGATTTTACATTGACTTTGATCTCCCTTTCTTCTCCTTCACTAACTTCTGCTTACTCCACGATTTAATTTTCTCTTTTTTTCCACCATTTTTCCCTCCAACTCTTCTTTCTTTCCCCCCCCCCTCTTCCTCGCCTTTCTTCATTTCCCTTCTTCATCTTCCTCCGTCCTCTCTTCTTTCACATCCGATATCCTCTTCTCCTCCTCTTTCTCCATCCCCTCCTCCTCCTCCTCCTCTTCCTTCAACTACTTTTCCTCCATCTTCCCTTCTTACACCTCTTCTTCTCCTTCCCTCATGTCCTCCTCCTCCTCCTCCTACTTCCCTCCCTTCCTCGCCCCCCCCACCCTTACTCCCCCTCTCCCCCCCCCCCCGTCTCTGTAAAAATCTCTTCCTGTAAACTTTTGTATTGTTTTCTCTCTTTCCTTCCTTTTTTTTTTTTTTTTTTTTTTTAAGGAAAACTTAACATTTGACATTCTGGGAAATTTCCTTTCTGTTCATCATTTGAAACTCACTATATCCCATTCTTAATTGATACTCATCTCTAATAATTCCAATAACATTGTTGCTCTATCTTCCTTTTTGAAGAGGCTTGTTCTTTGACATTCTAAGGATTTTTTCTTTCTGTCATCATTGACACTCACTATTTCCCATTTTTATTGATAATTTTCTAATGATTCCAATAACGCCATTTCTTTTTGTCTTATTTTATTGCTATTGTATTTAGATTTTTTAAATCATTTTATTATTTCTTATTCTCTCACTTTTTTTATCTTTATCTGTTTTCCCTTGATTATCTCTCTCTTGTGCAATTCCTTCTTCCTCCCCGTAATTGGCGTCTTCCAAGATTCGGTGTTTTAGTGAATCTCCTCCCAACTACTCTCGTGTTTACTCTCTCTGTTACTTTACTCTCTCTCTCCTCCCTCACCCCTTCCTCCTCCCTCCATCACCTCCTTTCATTTCCTCTCCGTTTCCTTCGTTCTTTTCTATCCGCCTCTTTGCTCTCTCTCTCTCTCTCTCTCTCTCTCTCTCTCTCTCTCTCTCTCTCTCTCTCTCTCTCTCTCTCTCTCTCTCTCTCTCTCTCTCTCTCTCTCTCTGTCTTTCTTTCCTTTCCTTTGTTTTCTATAGCCTTATTTTCCTTAATTTCTTCTCCCTCTCCTCTCCTTCCTTTCCCTCACTTCCCTTTCTTTCTACTCCCCGCCCTCCTCCCTCCTTCCCTCTCTCCCTCTCTTTCCTTCCCTCCTCAAACCCTCTTCCTTTCACCCCTCCCCCCTCCCTCTTTCTCCCACACCCGAAAACTGGTCCGCCTCCCTCCCCCCCCCCCCCCCCCCTCACCCTCACCCTCACCCTCATCTCCCAGCTCGTTTCACCTTTCACCCCCTTTTCTTTTTAATCCTTTTTTTCCCCCATCCGCAGCGACTACCCCATTGTGTGCTTACGCGGAACGTAACATTAGTAAGGGCGCGCGCAGTTTGAAAGCCACCCGCGAGGGCGTGCGTGCGTGCGTGCGAGCGGCGGGTCCTGCGTTTAGGCTGAGGGGATAAGGGGAGGCAAAGGGGAAAAGGGAGAGGGGAAAGGGGGGAAAGGGAAAAAGGGGAGAGGGGAGGGGAAAAGGGGAAAGGGGAGGGAAGAGGAAAAGGGGAAAAGGGGAAAGGAAAAGAGGAGAGGGAAAAGGGAAAAGGGAAAAGGGGAAGGGGAAAAGGGAAAAGGGGAGAGGAAAAGGGGGAAAGGTTAGGGGGGCTAAACAAATTCATTTTTTCGCGTCCGCTGTGTGTTCGGTTCGGTTTCATTTCCCCTTTATTATTTCCCCTTCACACTTTATCTGTTTGTGGATTAGGCTGATTGATTAAAGGGTTGAGAATCAGACAGGTACGGATGAGAATAATGAATATTAGAAGCACGTGCGTTAAGCGTAAATTTACAGTTCTTACACATACACAACGCACATATAATATATATATATATATATATATATATATATATATATATATATATATATATATATATAATATATATATTATATGTGTATGTGTGTGTTTGTGTGTGTTATGTGTTATGTTTGTGTGTGTTTGTTGTGTATGTGTGTGTGTATTGTGTGTGTGTTTGTGTTTTGTGTGTGTGTGGATAGATAGATATAGTTACAGATAAATTTATAATTTATATTTTTTACATAAACACACACATATTATATACATATATCTGTGTAGGAAAGGATGCCAAACGCCTAAAATCAGGTACGAGTTTTCTCCAACACCCCCTCTCTCACCCCTCCCCACTCCCACCCCTCCCCACCTCCCACCCCTCCCCACCTCCCATCCCTCCTATCCTCCTCGCGGCCGCTGTCAATCACAGTTTTGATCTACTTCCGGCGGGCGTCCCTCCTACCCCCTCCCCCCCCCTCCTCGCCTCTCCTGTCCCCCTTCCCCCCTCGCCTCCCTGATTCCATATCCTCTCTCTTCTCTATCATTATTTATTTATTTATTTTATTTATTTATTTATTTTATTATTTTGCTGAAGTCGCCATGGACGGAAATACGGGTCGATTTATTCATTTATTTATTTTATTATTATTATTATTATTATTATTTTATCTATTCATATTTCTTTTTTTCTATCGACTAGCTACGTTTTCCTTCATTTGATTCTCTTCACGTTTGTCTTTTCTTTAATCTCGGGTGGGGGATGGGTGGCGGGGGGGAGGGGGGGGGTTAGGAAAGGACGAGCGGGTGGAGGACATAGCGGGGGGGGGGGTTGCATACGAGGAGGGAAGGAGGAGAGAGAGAGAGGGGGGGGGTCGTTAGCTTATGATTGACAAAAAGTTTTCAGGAAATCACTTTATGGATTATTGTCAGCTGCTTAGAATCAAACCAGGATTTTCACAGCAGTATGAGAAATAGTATGACATGTAATAGATATAGAGTCTCGAAAATAATATCACAGTGTCACAGAGTGGTTAACAGCAGAAGTAACAGCAGTAACTCTTCCAACAGCAGAAGTAACAGCAGTAACTTCCAACAGCAGAAATAACAGCAGTAACTCTTCCAACAGCAGAAGTAACAGCAGTAACTCTTCCAACAGCAGAAGTAACAGCAGTAACTCTTCCAACAGCAGAAGTAACAGCAGTAACTCTTCCAACAGCAAAGTAACAGCAGTAACTTCTTCAACAACTAACAGCAGTAACTCTTCCAACAGCAGAAGCAACAGCAGTAACTCTTCCAACAGCAGAAGCAACAGCAGTAACTCTTCCAACAGCAGCAGCAGTCTCTTCCAACAGCAGAAGTAACAGCAGTAACTCAACAGCAGAAAGTAAAGCAGTAACTCTTCCAACAGCAGAAGAACAGCAGTAAACTCTTCCAACAGCATAACAGCAGTAACTCTTCCAACAGCAGAAGCAACAGCAGTAACTCTTCCAACAGCAGAAGAACAGCAGTAACTCTTCAACAGCAGAATAACAGCAGTAACTCTTCCAACAGCAGAAGTAACAGCAGTAACTCTTCAACAGCAGAAGTAACAGCAGTAACTCTTCCAACAGCAGAAGTAACAGCAGTAACTCTTCCAACAGCAGAAGTAACAGCAGTAACTCTTCTAACAGCAGAAGTAACAGCAGTAACTCTTCCAACAGCAGAAGAAAGTAACAGCAGTAACTCTTCCAACAGCAGAAGTAACAGCAGAACTCCAACAGCAGAAGAAAGAACAGCAGTAACTCTTCCAACAGCAGAAGAAGTAACAGCAGTAACTCTTCCAACAGCAGTAACAGTAACCTTCCAACAGCAGAAAGAACAGTAACTTTTCCAACAGCAGAAGTAAGCAGCAGTAACTCTTCAACAGCAGAAGTAACAGCAGTAACTCCTTCCAACAGCAGAAGAAAACAGCAGTAACTCTTCCAACAGCAGAAAAACAGCAGTAAACTCTTCCAACAGCAGAAGAGTAACAGCAGTAACTCTTCCAACAGCAGAAGTACAGCAGTAACTCTTCCAACAGCAGAAGAAACAGCAGTACTCTTCCAACAGCAGAAGTAACAGCAGTAACTCTTGTAACTCTTCCACAGCAGAAGAAACAGCAGTAACTCTTCCAACAGCAGAAGAACATAACAGCAGTAACTCTTCCAACAGCAGAAGTAACAGCAGTAACTCTTTCCAACAGCAGACGTAACAGCAGAACTCTTCAACAGCAGAAAGTAACAGCAGTAACTCTTCCACAGCAGAAAGCAGTAACAGCAATAACTCTTCCAACAGCAGAAGTAACAGCAGTAACTCTCCCAACAGCAGAGAGTAACAGCAGTAACTCTTCCAACAGCAGATAGTAACAGCAGTAACTAGCAGAAGTAACAGCAGTAAACTCTTTCCAACAGCAGGAAGAAACAGCAGTAACTCTTCCAACAGCAGAAGAGTTCTTCTAACAGCAGAAGAAACAGCAGTAACTCTTCCAACAGCAGAAGAAAAAGCAGTAACTCTTCCAACAGCAGAAGAAGTAACAGCAGTAACTCTTCCAACAGCAGAAGCAACAGCGTAACTTCCAACAGCAGAGAACAGTAACAGCAGTAACTCTTCCAGCACAGCAGAAGTAACAGCAGGTTAACTCTTCCAACAGCAGAAGTAACAAGCAGTAACTCTTTCCAAACAGCAGAAAGAAACAGCAGTAACTCTTCCAACAGCAGAAGAAGACAGCAGTACTCTTCCAACAGCAGAAGGAAACTTCTCTTCAAAACAGCAGAAGAAGTAACAGCAGTAACTCTTCCAACAGCAGAAGAAACAGCAGTAACTCTTCCAACAGCAGAAGTAACAGCAGTAACTCTTCCAACAGCAGAAGAAACAGCAGTAACTCTTCCAACAGCAGTAACTCTTCCAACAGCAGAAGAAACAGCAGTAACTCTTCCAACCAGCCTAAGAGTAACTCTTCCAACAGCAGAAGAAACAGCAGTAACTCTTCAAACAGCAGAAGTAACACAGTAACTCTTCCAGCAGAAGTAACAGCAGTAACTCTTCCAAAGCAGAAGCAACAACAGTAATTCCAACAGCAGAAGAACAGCAGTAACTTCCAACAGCAGAAGTAACAGCAGTAACTCTTCTAACAGCAGAAGTAACAGCAGTAACTCTTCCAACAGCAGAAGTAACAGCAGTAACTCTTCCAACAGCAGAAGAAATAACAGCAGTAACTCTTCCAACAGCAGAGCAGTAACTCCCAACAGCAAGTAACAGCAGTAACTCTTCCAACAGCAGAAGGAACAGCAGTAACTCTTCCAACAGCAGAAGAAGAAACAGCGTAGCAGTAACTCTTCCAACAGCAGAAGGAACAGCAGTAACTCTTCCAACAGCAGAAGAAACAGCAGTAACTCTTCCAACAGCAGAAGAAAACATAATCTTCCAACAGCAGTAACTCTTCCAACAGCAGGAGTAACAGCAGTAACTCTTCAAACAGCAGAAGAAGTAACAGCAGTAACTCTTCCAATCGTAATGGTAATAGAAATGGCGATTCGCTCGAAGGGGTAAAACAATCCGATTGCCGCAGCGTAACATGACGCGGAGCTGGAGTATAGACAATGGTCATGGAGTAAAATGACGTTGCGAGATGTTGCATTCGTGAAATCAACTTTCAAAGAAATATATGCTCGTGCTCGTGCTCGTGCAATGGAAAGGTGTTCCTCCGGCCGGCATTCTCTCTATTTATCTATGCATTTATCACCACTATTCATCTCTCTATTTATCTATCTATGCATCTATTACTACTTCTCTTGCTACTTGTCCTACTACAGTTGTTATTGCAATATAACTACTACTATGAATACTACAAACTGATGGTGGTGATAATAGTGATAACAATCGTAGTTATGATAATGATAATAAGATACGAATCGTAGTTATGATTATGATAATGATAATAAATACGAATCGTAGTTATGATAATGATAAAATACGAATCGTAGTTATGATAATGATGATAAGATACGAATCGTAGTTATGATAATGATGATAAGATACGAATCGTAGTTACGATATTGATAAGAAAATACGACAATATTCCCTCGCACACGCCTACACAAAACAGCCGATTTATACCATTGGATTGCGGTCCCGTGGGCGTAAGTAATGTGGCGATGCGGCTGCTGTTTTACGGCGTCTCGGGCGCCTGTTGGAAGGAAGCTGTGTAACTTTTACGAATCCCCCCCCCCTCCCCCCTCCCCCTTCCCGCCCTGTTCTATTTCTTACGCTTCTCCACGCTTATTTTATTTAATATCCCTCGCAGGAAGCGGGCATTGAATCAGTGTGA